ACCATGGTTTTCGAATATTTTAGTATTTTTCCTGATGTTCTAGGAATGGAAAGCATAGCTGCCTGAATAATAGTATTAGTAAACAGCTTCAACAGCGTCATCGATATGCGCATCTTCTACCATTTCATCTGTGAGCTCTGCAATGGAAGAGAAGAGTTCCCAGTCTGCCCTGTCCAGTATGAATCGAGGGGATCTCGACATGGGGTTTGCTCCTCTTCGTGCAAGAGACACAAGAATGGGATAATGATCACTGTTGTAAAGATCTTTACCCACATTAAAAGTGCAAAAAGGCAACAGAGATGGTGAACAGATGGCAAGGTCGAGAGCATGGAATGTCCTTGAAGGCTCATGGAAGTAAGTATCTTGCCCATTATTGAGGAGACAAAGGCTATGATCTTCGATCATCTGCTCAATTTGTCTTCCTCGGCAATTAGTATCCTTACTACCCCAGAGCGGACTATGGCCGTTAAAATCTCCTATTATGATGAAAGGCTCAGGCAGCTGCTCTAAAAGACCATTTAAATCTTGCTGATCAATATGCTCATTTGGAGGCAAATACAGAGAAACGACTGTAACAACAAAATCAAAATTTGTTTGAGTAGCGACAACTTGGAGGGATGTCGTCAAAGAAAGCACATTTGAGGGATAATCCAGTGAGGTGAGGAGACCTACACCTCCACTGGCACGCTCACCTGCAAGGTTATCCTTTCCTGACGAAAAGGAAAACCTCCGAAGTTTTGCCTGTTGTTCTGGTTTTAGATTTGTTTCCTGTACTGCGAAGCATACAGGATGATAAGCATTAATTATGGCTTTGATGTCGAGCAAATTTTCGGTGGAAACCGCGACAGTTCCATGAGACGAGGGTGGCCATTATGTCTGGTTTTTGTTCTTTCTGTGCTCTTGTTTGGTTTTTCGTGGAAGTAGATGCCTGGGAAATTCTAGACCCTCCTCTACTTCCATAGTGTCTGAATCCGCAGATTCAGAAATCATTCGTCGTCAAAAGAGCTATTGCTGGACTTCTATTTTTATTTGATATTTTTTTGTGGCAGTTTTGGGTTTACTTTGAATGACTGTTTTTTCTTTATTTTGTATTAAATGAGTTGACTTTTCCTGTTTTTTCTTGGTGGATGTAGTCGGTTGGGTTTTATTTGGTTTAGGTCTGCGTGCCTATTGATGTTTGGGTGGCAATGCTACGTGTTGTTTTAAACTGCACTGGCATAAGATTTGTTTGATTGGAGCTGTGTGCTTTGACTAGTTTTCTGGCTTCAGCATACGAGATGTTCCTGGTAACTTTTAAGAGTCTGCACTTCTTTTTCGGATTTCCATTTTGGGCACAGGCGTGAAAATGCTGGGTGCTGACCCTTGCAATTTATACACGAAGGCGCAGCGGTACAATTTTCAGAATCGTGGCCAATCTGTGAGCATCGGGCGCATGTGAGGCTGCCACGACAAGACGTCTTAGAATGGCCGAAACGCTGGCATTGGAAACATCGCATAAGGTTTGGAATATAAGGTCTTACAGGAATATTTAAGATATCCGGCCTTAATATTCTTAGGCAGATCAGGCGTGTTGAAGGTAAGGATCACGTGTTTCGTATCGATCAACTTACCTTACCTTCTTACGCATCTTGATCCGCCTTACACCGCAGACATTTTGGTCGGATACTCAGAAGCGATCTCTTCTTCAGAAACATACAGAAGGTCGAATTCTGAGATTACACCCCGACAATAGTTCAGTGACTTATGTGGTGTTACATTGACATTCGCTTGCCCAAGTTTAGTTATCCGAAGTAAAGAAACAGACTGGGTGGCTGAGGTTGTATCAATAAGCAAGTCTCCGGAGCGGAGACGCTTTATATTTCTCGGCTCACCAATACAAGACTGCATGTATTTGTTAATCACGAAAGGAGACATCTTATGCATTTCGCCAGAAGGACTAGAGATTGCTAGGAAACGGGGACTATTGTTATGATTTTTTTTATTTGCATCTGTCCGTAATTTTTTTGCAGAATTTTCAGAACTAGGATGAGCGACAGGTTGAGTGACTGGTTTTTAGTAGAAGACGTTTCAGAACTACGTTGAATGATTGGTTTATTAGTAGGATGTTTCAGAACTAGGTTGAGTGACTGGTTTAGTAGGAGACATTTCAGAACTAGGTGAGTGACTGGTTTAGTAGTAGGACGTTTCAGAACTAGGTTTTAGAGACTGGAGTGACTTCAAAATCTTTTAATAAAAAATATGTGGAATTTGCCATATTGAAAATAAGAAAGATTCGGGTCCGACGGCCCCGCCCACCACGGAGCCCAACAAGGGAACACAGATTCCTGTGTTAGGGCTAGCCGGACCTATACGCAAACTGAAGCCCCACAGTCGGCTTTCCCGAAAGCAGGTACTCCCGAGAGCTTGACCCCAAGCCACTGACACAAGGACTAGTGACCAGCCGATTGACACCCGTGAGGACGACTAAGGTGCCTCCCGTTTAGCTGAAGCAGAGGCCAAAGCAGTGTGTTTGGGGACAGTACCTCTCGCCCCTCAACTACCAGGACCCCCTCCTTTCCAGCGACACGGGTCTCCACGCACGGCAAACACGTGGGCAGTTTTCTCGCCACTCGAAGACTAGAGACAAGAGCTGCTCCAGTCTCTCGTGACGAGCCCCAAACTCCGTAGAGAGAAACCACAAGGGAGAAGGGAAAGGATAAAGTTCCAGCTAAGAGAAGAGGAGACGGAAAAGAGGAAAGATCACTGGGGCTCCAGGATCGTGACACCCGTCTCATCAAGAAGATGATCCCCTGAAGGGCTAGGGTACCTCGGGATTGCCACACCCGTACTCACAAAAGTGAGTCCCCTGAGGGTGCAAGTGTCTGTAAGCAGTTTGCTTAGATAATGTTTTTCCCCCACTCAGTTAGGTAAAAAATAAGTTCACATGCAATGACTGGCCTATTTCGTCGTGTTCAAAGCGCTTAAGCGCCTGTGATCCTGTTATCTCCCATCACATAGTGTTATTCATATGATATCGTCTACTCATTTTGCAAAATTTAGCAATTTCTCACTGCAATTTCGAAGAATTTAAAACTTGAATCACCACAGAAACAGCTAGTGTGACTCCGCAAATGCCTCATAACATCTGGAGAGCAATAGAGAACAGATCTGAAATTCTTCGATAAACTAATGGTACTTATGTTGAAGTGTGTTAATATAAAATCCTTCGAAGTGCTAAACGAAATTCAATCAGTCTTTTCTCCCTGTCTTTTATTCTTTATACACTGGTGTGCAAAAATTAAGGACGAGACGGTATTTTCAATATAACTTTGTACAAAAGCTTTCCAAATCAACACATTTAATACCATAAGATCCCCAATACGTAAGGACATGAGTAATGTAAGCAACACTTACTAAAAGAGAAATCAGAGGGATAAAAAGAAGCTTTATTGAAAAAGTAGCATGGAGGGCAATGAAACTGAAGGCCGAAACATCCCTGTGATGGGTGTCCAGCAAGAAACATCCGGTCTTTAATAGGGGAGATATGATCTCCCCTGACTGCTAGGCAGGTTTCACAGCGTTTGCCCATGCTGAGAATGAGGGTGTCAATGATTTCTTGAGGCATTGCTGCTCATTCGTCTTGCAGCGCCAATCGAAGCTCCGGAATCGTTACTGGTGGTAAGGTACGAGCTGCCAAGCGTCTGCCTAGAAAATCCCATACATGCTCGATGGGATTGAGATCTTGAGATCGTGCCGGCCAATATCCTCACTTTCTAAGAGCTGTTCGGCAGCTACTGTGCGATGACATGGTGCATTGTCGTCCATGAAAAGGAACCCATAGCGCCTCTAAAAAGACGCACATATGGAAGAAGAATCTCGTTACAATAACGGGTCCCGTTGACTGAACCTGCGTCGAAGATGCGAAGGTCTGTACGACTACCAAGCATGATGCCTCCCCAAACGAGAACACCGCCACCTCCATACCTGTCCCTTTCAATGATGTTCGAGGGATGATTGCGGCTTCCCCGCTCTCTCCAGATGAGTATGCGATGAGAATCGCTACTCAGACTGAATCTGCTCTCATCTGTAAAGAGTACTCGTCCCCATTCATTGTCTCTCTCTCCAATTCCAGTGTTCCCGGCACCACAGAGAACGCCTTCTCCGATGGGCAGGCGTTAGAGGAACACACCGTACAGGGCGTCGTGCAAACAGACCACCACCGTGCAGTCTTCTGGCCATGGTAAAACGCGATATCGGTCGTCCAGTCGCCAGTGTCGTGTGTCTAGCGATTTCTCCCGCTGTCTGCCGCCTGTTTCTTCTGGCCTGTAAGGCAATATACCGGTCATCTGCGGGTGTGTTTCCTCGTGGACGACCACTGCTAAACCCCTGGATAGCTGTTCCTGTAGTTTGAAATTGTCTCCAAAGTCGTGAAACGATGCTGTGAGCAATTCCGAACTCTGCAGCCACACTTGTCACACTGCGGCCTTCCTCCAACTTCCCCATGATTCGACCTCGGGTAAAAGCATCCAGATGTCGTCTAACAGATTGATTATTCGCCATTTCTCGCTGAGGCAGCAACTCGGTGTGATTTTAACTGCTATACGGCGTGCAATCTCTTTGCCAGAAATACTGATCTTACGCCGACAACATGCTTTATACTACTCAGACACTCCCCCATTACGTCTACCTGCATATCTGCGCATGTGCTACCGTACATCACCTTACTTAATCTCCTGATTGGTCTTTCTGTCCGCTCTGCCTCTTCGTTCAGCTGATATTTTTGCACACCAGTGTAATTTAAAACATATCTTTATACAGTCAATAAATTACAGATACCCTGCCTTCAAAGCTTTAAATTTTTTTAAAACAAATCTAGTTTTTCAAGATATTATTTTTCACCTGATTTTTATCTATCTTGGTTTCTCTATTTGTTTGCTTGCTCAGTAAGTTTACAACTTACATTATATTTTATTTTAAGCTTTTTTTTAGTACTAAAATAGGAATCATACATAATTTTTCAGATTGGTAAAATCGTTCGCACCTTTATAAACGAAGCAGCTGACTATACGATGAGCCAAGAATGGATTGAAGAAGACGCACGATTACTATTAAGCCATCAGGTAAGTAAATTATTATTTTTATTATTAATTGACTTTAATTTCGCATTTTGTGTGTTAGAGATGATCAACCAAGATTGGTTGAGAGCCACTCTAATTTTTAAATTTACCACCAGAGTGTCTGTCAAACTTATAAATTTTTTTTTTCTGACAACTGTATATAAAACGATAATGAATTTTCTCCGACATCAGTTATTATATATTTATTTATATTTTAAAAAATATACAATTATTCTTAAAAAACTATGTAATACCACTTATTGGGAAAATAATATTTGCCCAAATTTCTGAGCGGCAATTAACAGTAATTACAAGTAAAGATTTTTCAATTATAGCTGCTTGAACTCGTTTCGAATGTAATTCGGGATATATACTATAATTTTTTTTTCTCTTTTTTCCGCACATGCTATCGCAGTTGCACGTCCAGTTAGCAGTCGGAAGGAAAGGAGTTCGAATCTTGGCGAGGACCTAGTTGATATTTCTTGTTTCCTGCTCCAGATAGAACCTATTTTCCCATTCAGTTTTACAATAGTATTTGATAATATACGTCAGTTAGTTTCTTTCTGAATTTCAATATGATAATCTTCGTGATAAAGTTTACACTGACGAGCCAAACATTATGACCATCCCCACATGTTTCAATGAACTCGTCCAGATGACATGGAGGGTACGTGATTAAGTGGGAATGGTAGAAGGTAAAGAATCATTCTTGCACTTCCCCTTTTGAGAGTGATGGGAAAGGCAGCCGATTTAAGCGAATTGGATACAGGGCAGATTGTAAGACTCGGAATGAGTATCTCAAAAACGTGTCCTACTGGTAGGTTGTTCACGATCTGCGTTGTTAGTATTTATGCAAAGTGGATAAATGACTGTGCAACCAGCATTATATGCCAAGGTGTCGGACGTCCACTCGTCAACAAAGAAAAAGGACATCGGAGACTATCCCACTTGGCACAGCAAAATTGGCGTCAGAAAATGGCTCAGCTGACACCCTATACAGTGCAGATTCAAGTACAAGAGATTCAGAACATAGAGTTCAGCGGACACTGTTGGATATGGGCCTGCGCAGCAGACGTCCTACTTGTGTGCCTCTTTTGACCAAGCATCATTGTAAACTACGCCTACAGCAAAACCGGGAACATCGAGACCGGACCATGGATAAGTAGAAGATAGTTGCCTGGTCGGATGAATCACGACTTCTCACTCATCTCGTCAATCGTCGCGTCAAAGTACTCCGTCCTCCAGACGAACAGTTGCTCCCACCTGTATAGCTGGTCATACACAAGCCGGTATTATGATTAGGGAGTGAGTGAGTGAGTGAGAGATTATGGCGCAAAAACCAAAGATGATTATGGCGCGCCAAACACGAGATGGGATGATTACAATAGATGACATTAAAATTCAATAAATAAAAACAAGTAGAGAAATGCACCAAATCCAGAGGATGAAGTCATATAAAAACAAGTTAAAAGCACACATTAAAATTCAAGGACACAGTCTTCAAAACAAATTACATTAGATAATAAAAGCCAGTCTCTTTTAAATAATAAAATAAATTACAATTGACCTCTCTTCCGATTAAACGGTCGAGAGGTAAGTCACAGCTATTAAAATATTTCTGACGAAGACTATTAAAACATGGACACTCAATTAAAATATGACGGACAGATAGACAAACATTACAATTTGAAACAAACAGGCTCATTTCTCAGCTTTTAAAAGGATAGTTATGTGTCACTCTAGTGTGACCAATTCTGAGGCGAGTCAAAAGAACTTCCTCCTTACGATTTTTGGTAAATTCCCAATGCTCAATTCTAGGCTTTACATGTCTTAACTTATTTTGAAGCTGAACATCCCAAAGTTGCTGCCATTTTTTTCGGATCTTTTTTTCCACATGACACAACAGATGTCTCTAAAAGGGATGAGGCGACTGGACAGTTCAACAGCAGATTTGGCTGTGATATCTGCCAGCTCATTTCCCTTTATTCCCAGCATGTCCCGGGAACCCAGCAGTACAGGATTTCATATCCACGATGTTAAGTTTATATGTAAACTTGAGAACATCCACTATCACAGGATTTTGAGTGTTGGGAAAAGCTTCTAATGATTTAAGAGCACTATACGAGTCTGTGTATAAACTATAAACTTTTTGTGGCAGAGCCTTGAGATGTACAAAAGACCATAATATATTGCAGTTAGTTCAGATGTTAAGACAGAGAAAGCATGGTGCAAGCGTCTGCCCTCCATGTGATCTTCAAATTACAAAATGCCATCCCGACATGATCTTTTGACTTGGATCCATCTGTATAACGGAAGATAACTGCTATATTTGTGCCTGTGCTCAGCGAAGAGTTGTCTGTAAATGATCTCGTTAGTGCTTGCCTTCACGTGATGATTGAAAACATCAAGAAGCTGAATCCGTGCATTTTCCCAAGGTGGGATTTCAAAATTCTGTACTGCTTGGGGGCGCATATCAGAGAGGGAAAGTTCCTCAATGACAGGGCGAACTCTTAAAGGAAAGGTAGGAACACAGGATGGACGTGTTTCAAATAATGTGTTACACACATTATCAAGTAAGCACAGCTTATTAGGATGTTCAGGTTGAGATAGAATATTAAAATATTGCAAAGGGACAATTGCTCACGCCTCAGATAAAGTGATGGTTCGTTAGAGTCAACATACAGGCTCTGGACAGGAGAAGTCCTGAAAGCTCCTGAACAAATCCGCAGAGCTTGATGGTGAACAGGATCCAAGTTTAACAATACTGATGACTGAGCGGATCCGTAAACAACTGAGCCATAGTCCAGTCTAGAGCGGATAAGCGCTCTGTAAATGCGAAGCATGGAGCAACGCTCTGCACCCCAGGAGGTGTTCGCCAACACTTTTAAAATATTTAGTGTTTTACACTTCTTTCTCAGGTTTAAAACATGAGAAAGGAAAGTCAATTTTCGGTCGAACGTCACTCCTAAAAATTTTACTTCGGGCGCAACTGGAATAATTGTACCATTCAGATATAACTCAGGTTCAGGATGGAGACCACGCTTCCTACAAAAGTGCACGCACACAGTTTTCTGTTTTGAAAAAGTAAATCCCTGTTTGGTTGACCATTCCTGGATCTTATTCAGAGCCATCTGCAATTGCCTCTCTATGTATCTCATGTCTGCCCCTCGACAGCTAATCTGTAAATCATCTACATATAGAGATCCCAAGATGGTGGAGGAAGTTCTTTTAATACAGAGTTTATTTTTAGGCTGAACAGCGTTACACTAAGCACACAGCCTTGAGGCACACCCTCTTCCTGTTCAAAAACATTCGATAAAGCAGAGCCAATTCTTACTTGAAAAGTTCTAGCGTTCAAGAAATTCTGAATGAAAATTGGTAGGTTGCCGCGCAAGCCACTCTCGTGAAGATCGCGAAGTATACCGTATCTCCATGCCTTATCATAAGCTTTCTCAATGTCAAAGAATATTGAGACAAGGTGACTTCTTTTGACAAAAGCTTTTCGAATAGATGTCTCTAAAAGGAGCATATTATCTACGGTCGTTCTCCCCTTTCGAAAACCGCTTTGATAAGGCGATATAATATTATTCTTTTCCAAGAAGTAGACTAGGCGGCTGTTTACCATCTTTTCAAACAGTTTGCATAGGCAACTGGTAAGGGCAATTGGCCGATAGTTGGAGGGATTCCTTGGATCTTTCCCTGGCTTAGCAATAGGAATTACAACAGCTCTCCTCCATGCACTGGTACGCTCCTTCCACACTCTATTGTAAAGAGTGAGAAGGGCATTCAGTGACTTATAGGACAGATGCTTTAGCATTTCGTAATTCACGCCATCAAGACCCGGAGAAGACCTATGTGTCTGCAATAAAGCTCTCCTTAATTCAAGCATAGTAAAGTCTCTATTGTAAGGCTCAGATTTGGAAGAGCTGAATGCGATGAGATTTATCTCAGAATGCTGCTTGATAGAGAGAAATGCAGGTGAATAGTTTCTGCTGGAAGAAACGGCAGCAAATGTCTCACCAATAGTATTCGCAATTTCTTCTATGGAGCTAATCACTCGGCCATCTTTTTCCAAAAAGGAAAGTGAGTGGTCTTTATATATGCCGCATGCTTTTTCGAACTCTTTCCCAAACCCGCTTACTAGGCGTGGAGGATGTTATTGACGACACATATGAAATCCAGGAATCCCTTCTGGCTCTGCCTTCTTACTTTTCGTGCATTTGCATTTGCTTTGGCTCTTTTAAAGGCTATGAGGTTTCGCAGAGTAGGATATCTACGAAAAATACCCCATGCTTTTTTCTGTTTTTTTCAGTGCTTCATGACAGTCGCGATTCCACCACGGTTTCGAATATTTTAGTATTTTTCCTGATGTTCTAGGAATCGAAAGCATAGCTGCCTGAATAATAGTATTAGTAAACAGCTTCACAGCGTCATCGATATGCACATCTTCTACCATTTCCTCTGTGAGCTCTGCAAGGAAGAGAAGAGTTCCCAGTCTGCCCTGTCCAGTATAAACCGAGGGAGTCTCGACATGGGGTTTGCTCCTCTTCGTGCAAGAGATACAAAAATGGGATAATGATCGCTGTTGTACAGGATCATTTCCGACACTAAAAGTGCAAAATGGCAACAGAGATGGTGAACAGATGGCAAGGTCGAGAGCGTGGAATGTCCTTGAAGGCTCATGGAAGTACGTATCCTGCCCATTATTCAGGAGACAAAGGCTATGATCTTCGATCATCTGCTCAATTTGTCTTCCTCGGCAATTTGTATCTTTACTACCCCAGAGCGGACTATGGCCGTTAAAATCTCCTATTATGATGAAAGGCTCAGGCAGCTGCTCTAAAAGGCCATTTAAATCTTGCTGATCAATATGCTCATTTGGAGGCAAATACAGAGAAACGACTGTAACAACAATATCAAAATTTGTTTGAGTAGCGACAACTTGGAGGGATGTCGTCAAAGAAAGCACATTTGAGGGATAATCCAGTGAGGTGAGGAGACCTACACCTCCACTGGCACGCTCACCTGCAAGGTTATCTTTCCTGACGAAGGAAAACCTCCGAAGTTTTGCCTGTTGTTCTGGTTTTAGATTTGTTTCCTGTATTGCGAAGCATACAGGATGATAAGCATTAATTATGGCTTTGATGTCGAGCAAATTTCGGTGGAAACCGCGACAGTTCCATGAGACGAGGGTGGCCATTATGACTGGTTTTTGTTCTTTCTGTGCTCTTGTTTGGTTTTTCGTGGAAGTAGATGCCTGGGAACTTCTAGACCCTCTTCTACTTCCATACCGTCTGAATCCGCAGATTCAGAAATCATATCGTCAAGAAAGCTATTGCTAGGACTTCTATTTTTATTTAATTATTTTGTGACTTTCAGTTTTAGGTTTACTTTGAATGACTGTTTTTTTTTTGTATTAAATGAGTTTGCATTTTCCGTTTTTTCTTGGTGGATGTAGTCGGTTGGGTTTTATTTGGTTTAGTCTGCGTGCCTATTGATGTTTGGGTGGCAATGCTACGTGTTGTTTTAACTGCACTGGCATAAGATTTGTTTGATTGGAGCTGTGTGCTTTGAACTAGTTTTCTGGCTTCAGCATACGAGATGTTCCTGGTAACTTTAAGAGTCTGTACTTCTTTTTCGGATTTCCATTTTGGGCACAGGCGTGAAAATGCTGGGTGCTGACCCTTGCAATTTATACACGAAGGCGCAGCGGTACAATTTTCGGAATCGTGGCCAATCTGTGAGCATCGGGCGCATGTGAGGCTGCCACGACAAGTCATCTTAGAATGGCCGAAACGCTGGCACTGGAAACATCGCATAGGGTTAGGAATATAAGGTCTTACAGGAAGATTTAGATATCCGGCCTTAATATTCTTAGGCAGATCAGGCGTGTTGAAGGTAAGGATCACGTGTTTTGTATCGATCAACTTACCTTCCTTTCGCATCTTGATCCGCCTAGCACCACAGACATTTTGGTCAGCTAACTCGGAGACGAACTCTTCTTCTGAAACACACAGAAGGTCGATCTCCGAGATCACACCTCTACAAAAATTAAGTGTTTTGTGCGCTGACACAGTTATAGATATTTCTCCAAATTTGGTTTGTCGGGAAAGAGAAGCAGACTGGGTGGCCGACATGGTATCAATAAGCAGGTCTCCTGATCGGAGACGCTTTATGTTCCTTGGCTCACCTATACATGAATGTATATATTTGTTTACCAGAAAAGGAGACATCTTTTGCAGTTCAGCAGAAGGACTAGAGATAACAAGGAAGCGCGGACAATCAGTAGATTCTTTGGCATTTGCATCGGTTCGGATCTTCTTGGTACTGGATTTGTCAATAATTTCAGTAGTATCTTTGTCATTTTCATCGGTACGGGTCTTCTTGTTAATTGATTTATCAACAATTTCAATATCTTGGTTGGTGTCTTTTGAGTCAGGTTTTTTTAGAATAATAGAGAAGCCATAATTGAAAGAGAAAAAATTCGGGTCCGACGGCCCCGCCCACCACGGAGCCCAACAAGGGAACACAGATTCCTGTGTTAGGGCTAGCCGGACCTATACGCAAACTGAAGCCCCACAGTCGGCTTTCCCGAAAGCAGGTACTCCCGAGAGCTTGACCCCAAGCCACTGACACAAGGACTAGTGACCAGCCGATTGACACCCGTGAGGACGACTAAGGTGCCTCCCGTTTAGCTGAAGCAGAGGCCAAAGCAGTGTGTTGGGGACAGTACCTCGCCCCTCAACTACCAGGACCCTCCTTTCCAGCGACACGGGTCTCCACGCACGGCAAACACGTGGGCAGTTTTCTCGCCACTCGAAAACTAGAAGCAAGGACTGCTCCAGTCTCTCGTGACGAGCCCCAAACTCCGTAGAGAGAAACCACGAGGGAGAAGGGAAGGGAAAAAATTCTAGCCAAGAGGAGAGGAGACGGAAAAGAGGATAGATCACTGGGGCTCCAGGATCGTGACACCCGTCTCACCAAGAAGATGATCCCCTGAAGGACTAGGGTACCTCGGGATTGCCACACCCGTACTCACAAAAGTGAGCCCCCTGAGGGTTATTATGATTAGGATGATGCTCTCATGGGCGGTTCTGGGACTCTTAATTGTGGTAGAACAGATCATGAAAGCTACGGAACATCTGAAAAATTCGCAATTGCGGATGAGTTGCATGCTTACATGGGTGAATATGGTTGCACTCTTACGTGGTACTGGAATTGTGTTCCAGTGTTTCGAAGAGTATAAGGATGATTTCCCATTAATGTCATGACAACCTAACTCGCCGGATCTTAACCCGATAGAGCACATTTGGGATGTCATAGAGCGGCAGCTTAAAACTCAAATAGCACCACATCGGAATATCACGATTTTGCGCGACCGCCGCATTTGATACAACATGTCTCCAATCATCTGCATGAGGTTCAAATCTCGCGAACGGGCTGGCTGCATGGGCGTTTTCGTGGTTTTCCCCATGTGTAATGTGTATACGAGACAGTTTCCCTTAGAAAGTCCTCTACGAAGGCATCCCTCCCTTTAGGCAGATAGCCCTCGTGTGCTTTGCCATAATTAAATAATTCAATCCAATCCAATCATCTGCCAAGAACTTGTGGCATATATACAAAAGTGTTGCAGCTGTTTTGAAGGCGGAAAGTAACGCAACGCGTTATTGAGTAGGTGATCATAATGTTTGATTCTCCAGTGTACTGCCGAAGTGTAAGTTTCATTGATATAAAGATTTGTTTAAGAGCCCGCTTTTTTAGAAATGCGGAACTTCACTCCAAGATTAATTTCTGTAAGTTCATTTTGCACTTTCTTCATGTGAATCTTCCACAAATGAGTCATTAAAAAATTGCAATTGTGACAGGTGAAGCGCAGCTATAGGGAGATCTATACAGTCTCTTTTATTTCCATTAACAAGAAAAACAATACATTCCCCCCTAAATCAGAATCAAAATGCATAAACGAAGTCTTGCGTCTTGCATTCCATTTCGCTGAAAAAAAAAATGGTACTATGAACAGCCTCGCAACACCTGAAATGACATGTGTCCTTAATGCGGTCATTGCATAAAAAGACAGATATCGCTTTCAAAGATACCAATGTGAAAAAGGTAAGCTACTAAACAGTTATGGCCGGTAGTTAAGCGAAAGGTCATAATAGCAAAGGGTCGATGCGAATAGGAGTATCTATCGGTAGAAGGGCATTACAACGCTTAATAGATATTGTGTCCTGTATGCGCCATCGAAATCTTGAATAAGTGGCAGTTTTAGTAAATCTTTTAACAATGTCGAATGAAATTTTGTTTTTTTTATTAACCTTTGAATTATAGAATCCTTTTCGATCAGCGTCTAAGTCCGCTTATTGCCGGGAATACCCAAATGAGGCGGTTTCCATAGAAAAATGGTATGAAAATCCTTGTTTTTACTCTTTTTAACAAGGAAACTGAAATGGGTAATAGCTTATGATGGAGCGAACAAATCTGCCTTAATAGCATAGATAGTTGATACGAATTCGAAAAAATTACGATATTCTTACAATTTAAATTCTGTTTTCTAAGTGTTTTGACAGATGCAAAGCTATTTTGAAAGATGCAATTTCATCATGAAAAGCCACTTTAAATTTCTCAATAGGATATGAAAGACGAACATTCACAAAATCCGCTGGCTACAGATTTATGGTAATCTATCATAGAAAATCCATTTGTGTAAAGTCTGAAGCTATTCTTTCTCAGAATACTTTAAGTTAATAGTCTCCAAAGAAGGCAGTACAGTATAATCTCAGATAAGGACTTCTTCGAGAAAGGACTAGCCATTCCGAAACAATACTTACTGATACACATCCAGCGGACTTAATCTTTTGGTTAATTCGTGTACATTTACCACCTATGTCCTTTTTTCCTAAGCTTTCAGGACAAAACTCTTGTGTACTTTTAGAAGTCTGGGATTGTTTAAAGAATACTGCAATAATGATTTCATATTCATTGCAACTTTTGATAAAAAGTAATGGCTTTCTCATCTTTATAGCCTCAACTAATTTATTATCTATTAAAAATTCACATGTAACTGAGCAAAAATTCTTTGTCATTGATTAGAAAGATGTTACATAAACTGTCAAGGACTTCGGGGAATTTAAACTTATCTATTCAAATACGCAAATGCATACGTCACATAATTCGCTGGAAATGATCTTTGTCTTCAGGTAGGCGTACCATTGATTCGACGTTGCAAGTATATTGCATATAGTTTTTTGCGTTATAGAGGTATTTATGAAGAAGGATGAGAAATTAGAGAAATATTTTAGAACCGTATAACTTCCAAGAAACTTTGGGCACCACGTTAACCCCATATGATCAAAACGGTCTTCCTTTCACATGATTACTGGTCTTAAAATAAAGAACAGAATTTATCGCAATAAGCCATGGTTATTTCAAGATACAGAAAATATAACTGATCGGATCGGAAACGGTGGTGATCAGTACTACGCCCAATTCCCGAAAACACACTACTCCAAGTGAAAATATGAATGGCAGAATGCAGAAGACACTTTTCTGTCATCATATGACTCATGTACATGCAGTACGACAAAAGTAAATTTCTGACATTCTGGGCTGTTTCTATCTCTTAATTCCTGATATATTCGAAAAAAACATTGTTTTTCTTACCTATTAATAATTAACCTATAATTAATTACATACAAGTGAAAGGATTTTGCAAATGACGACTGCACTAGAATAAAGACTCTCAGTTTCTCTTCTGATATCGTTCCAGTGCAATAAGTCTGTTAATTACCCCTCAATTATTTACAGATACGCAACATGACAAGCAACTTAAATTCTCATGTAGAAAGCCTTGCTAATGAAACGGCAGCAAATCACAAGTACTCGGAGGTAATTTTTCTAGATATTTTTATTTTTTGTTAATTAGATTGTAGTATACTTAATTTGAAATATATCTAGCATACTATGACTTAAGATTTTTATTTATCACAGAAATAATCATACGGCGTTCACGTTGTTTTAATATGGTCTTCTAAACCAAACGACATGGGGTTAAGCTTAAAATAATAATCACACAAAAACACAAAAAAAGAAGCTCGAACTATTGAAAACTGATTGTCAAAATAATTTATTGCATATTTCTGATGTGATTGCTTCAAATATCTTTATATAATTTTGAAGGCCGCTTCCAGTCACTAAAATTATATAGTCACAATAGAAATATGCCACTCAGTGTTTCAATGTTATTATAATAAACTGCAGTTAAAACTGCCATCTTAAACGTTTCGAAATACGTATGTTAAACGTGATGGTAAAATTTTGAAGACGTTACCATACAATATGTAAGATTTCTCAGGGTCAACATGTACTGTAATTAAAGTACGGCGAGTGTTATAATCATAGTTGTGAGCATTATAGGAGTATTTACAGATGTAAAATGCGAGGGTTGAACAGTGCCGCCCTAACCACAGGGCTAAATGGGCTATAGCCCCAGGGCGCAAGCCTTTTGAGGCGGCAATTTTTTATTTGCGATATAGTAAAAATTTTATTTTTCATTTTATTAGTTTTTACTTATTTTTAAATTAAAACACTTCTTAAAATATTAAACTGATTTATTTCTTCCAAATGTGCTGAAAAACGATAGATAGAGAAGGGCAACGCGAAATAGGAGTAACACCCTACCGATCGTACTTTTGTTTCAGTCGCATTTGAACTGTCGGAGCTGTACCTGGAGTTAATATAAGACCACCTACGTATACTCACCGCGTCGCCAGGGCATATTCATTTATCTAAACGTAAATTGTATTATTTTAACAATCCTGATAAAAGATAGGAACATAAAGGGGTCACTGATGCATACCTTAATATAGATTGCACGACAAAAGTAAAATTGATATAATTTTAGTATTTGTCGACTGAATAAGGTGAATTAAAAATTGAAAATTAAGTGGAAATTATTAAATTATATTATTATTATTCCTAGGTAAGTGCTTTTCCTTTTACATACACTAGTGGACAAAAAAAAAAAAAAAAAAAAAAAAAAAAAAAAAAAAAAAAGGCATTTAGCAAGATATATTTTTAATTTTAAAAGGTTAAAAAATAAATTGGTTTTTTTTTTTCTCATTTTATATTTAAAAATATATTTACTTTAAGGTATAAAGAAATTAGGTAGTATATTGAACGGTTTTATAAAAATGAAAGTGGACAAAAAAAATGCATATTGAAAAAAAATAGCCTTTTCCCGCCAAAAAACATAAAAAAAATTCTATGATTCAGTGCATCCATGTCAAAGCAATTATCAATTGAAGATAAGGCTCAAATTGTAGCTTTCCACGAGTCTGGAATGAGCCAAATGGAGTTAGCAAAAAAATACTCCTTAAATCAATCAACAATTTCCAGAATTGTTAAAAAATATATTATAAGAGGGTCTTCATCTCGAAAACCGGGATCTGCTTATATGCTTATATGCTTCTTTAGAAAAATTTGTACAATCGAAACGAAATATAGATTCGTTTAACCTTTACAAATCAGAAGGTATAAAATTATCTGGCTGTTATGAATACAAACGGTTACGGAAAAGAAAAAGACAGTTCGACGAAAATACGTCGGAAAAAGTGCAACTTGATGCAAATGACGAATTCCGCATAAAAACATATTATGCTATTATTGATAAAATTCTAGCAGAAGTACAAAAGAGAAAATGTGCATATGTTGACATTTATTCAACATTTGGGTTTCTAGTTAAATTTAAAAAATATAAATGAAGACATAATTAGAAATAATGCTGCAAAGTTGTGCGAAATATATCAGAATGATTTAGAAAACAGCTTTATTGAAAAATGCCTACATTTTAAACATGTGAATTTATTGGAAAATACCGAAAATATATCTATCGCAGAACTAAGTTTAAAGACAATAATCGAGTTAAAAATTGAATCTACATTTCCAAACGTAACCTGCGCATATTTTTAAGTATCGCCACAACAAACTGCAGTGCCGAAAGATCATTTTCAGCAATCAAAAGAATAAAAAATTACTTACGATCTTCTTTGGGAAAGAGTAAACTCAATGATTTAAGTATTTTGTCTATTGAAAGAGATTTATTTGAAAATTTAAATACTAGTGATATTATTGATCAGTTTGCCAAAGAAAAAGCTAGGAAAGTAAATATATAAGTTACATTTGTTTAGATTAAGGTGTGTTTTTTGTTCTTAAATGGTTTTTTATTTAATTAAATTTTATTTTTGTTTATGTTATGCACTGATGGAGAATCATATAATAGTTCCGATAAAGTTCTAAGGATTAGACTAAAAAACTGATCGGAACTGTCATTATTGAGATAATCCCCTCAAATCTGGGTAAACATTTATACCCATCTTTTAAACAAGTGACTTTAAAGAAAAGTTACAATAAAGATAACAGTTTATTATAAAAGTAATAAATAGTTTTTTTCTAGTTCTGACACTTTTGTTTTGCATAACTTTTCCGACTCCCATTTGCCATTCTGTGTATTTTCTTAGGAAGAAGGGCGCATTATTTTTAGTAGCCCATGGGCGCCGAATTCCTTAAGACGGCCCTGGGGTTGAAGTCTAAGATCATAAGTAAACTGGTAAAAGTGCATAAGACACCAGAGTCTTCATTACAGAATTGAATAGATAAACTAACCAGCTAGAGTTTGACACATCTATGTAGTCTATAAGGTTCGGTGGGGATGGATGCTGGATGAGAATAAACCGCTGCCATGGGGCTACTCGAACGGGATCAGAGATAAAAACTTTTGAACGAAAGACTGAAATTAACTGTATGTTCTTTTTTTTTCTCCTAAGGAACACTAGGGTTCTTACATTACATGGTAATATAAAATTAGGCAAAGTCACTTAACACAAACTGTTGAGCATACTCATTATAGTATTGGATACGTAAATAGAATAAAGTTAGTACTTTTGTTAGCTTTTCAGCCATTTTTGTTAAATTTGAATTTCACTTTTACGACAAAATAAATTGAACAAGGTATTTCTCTCCTTTCTGTAGACTCACTTACGCATTTACTTGTTGAACTTTAAAGAATCACTTATATCCTACTTTTCTGACACCACTGTCATACATACTTCTGCATGGGTTCCGGATATATATTTACTTCTTAATGTAGACGTGAACGTAATATGGGTATTTCATGTAACAGACATTTAATAGCACGAACACTTTATTAACACACGAAGAAAACAAATAGTTTACACAAAAAAGAAATAAACCATATGCACCATTATTACGCTGCCCATACAGCGGATTGTTTTGATTGCTAAGAGTCTCTTTTCGTCTACTGTAAGTCACGTGAGAGAGATGCATTGCACGCCGTACGGTTAAACTGCGCATGCGTGCTCATCACGTCATCACAAACTGTAACTGAGTATGCTTTCCAGCAATTCTGAGAAATCGAAGATACTGGAGGATCACCGAGGGTCTTGAATTCAACTTAGAAAAAACTTTTGCAATCATTTTCCCGCGGGCTGGGATCAAAGTGAGAACTCCACGATTTAGATATCAAGGAAAAAGAATAAAGTTTGTTGATGTTATTAAATATTTGGGAGTCAAGATTGATTGCAAGTTGACCTTCGCAGATCATTTTAAAACAATTCATCGGCTCTCAGATGATATGTTAATGTGTTTTACAGGAGATCCTTTTTCTAGTGAGACACTTTGTAACAAATCATGCATTCTTAAAGATATTTTGAATAATGTAATGTAATATCCCTAGAGTTTTCTATGGAATTGGTGCCTGGGGATCCAGTGCCGGGGATTTGGTCAGGTTGAGGAACAAACTCGATGCGATACAGAGGAGCTGGTGCTTAATGATTACAAGATGTTTCCGTACTGTCTCAACTGAGGTGCTCTGCGTTCTAGCCGGCACGCCGCCTCTTTCAATTTTATATAAATTATATTTTGAAAAATTTTTGTTCAGAACTGGTAGACTTGATTTTAAATTGTATAAAGATATTTTGATTACAAGGCATATGTTTGAAAGAATTAATAATATTTTGGTACATCCTTCTGATTTATGTGTTTTTGAATTTGATTGTAAACTCCCAATAGTCGGAGAATTGGATATTTATACTGACGGGTCCAGGCAAGATGATAAATTGGGTGCAGCATTTGTGATTTATCATTATGGAACTGAAATTGAAAATAAAAAATATAAGCTTAATAATTATAATTCTGTATTTCAATCGGAATGCTGTGCTTTACTTAAAGCCCTTCAATGGGTTAAGAAAAATTTGACTTGTGTTAATTCTATTCATATATATACTGATTGTATGTCTTTGCTTCAATCCTTGACCTCGGCCCGTCCTACTAATTTATTAATATTTGATATTAAATGTCTATTGAAATTTTTGATGCAGAATATGTGCATTCATTTACACTGGATAAAAGCCATGTTGGCTTTGTTGGAAATGAAAGGGCCGACGTGCTGGCTAAAGAGGCGACCACTAATGATGATTGTGAATATAAATAGAAATTTCTGGTTTGAGAAGTTATGCAATTAGAAACATGAAAAATTTTTATAATGATATTTGGAATACTACTAGATGGAATGAATCAGAGAGGTGCGTGGGTCTTTTGAAGTCTATTAAAATTCAAAATGGTATGCGACCAATTAGTAATATTGATTTAAACCAGTTTTTAACTGGGCATGGAAGATTTCCCGCGTACCTCTCGAGATTTAATTTACAAAATTCAGACTTGTGTGGTCATTGCCATCAAGTTGGTAACGCAGATCACTTCTTGAATCATTGTTCCTTATTGGAAAATTTGAGAAAGAAATGTTTGGGAGATAAGTCATGGAACTTGAAAATCGTAAAAACATATTCTAAATGTGCAATGGATTTGATCAATTCTAATAGATTGAATTTGGAATATTTGTTTAGTATTGTGTATATTTATCTTTTGATTATATGTATTATATTCTCAGTTATGAGTATTTATAGGTTTACTACGAAAATTTTGAAATTTTTCTGTGTAGTGTTTTATTTAATGCATTGTGGATGTTTTGTACATGCGGTATTTCGAAGAGATGCAGTTGATTGTTACATAGATATGGCCTTGCAAATGTTGAGAATCCTGATGGATTACCAGATTTAAATTATCGAAATTAATGGTGGTTTTGAGTTTTAGGATTTTGATTTTTAAATTTTAAATTTTATGGAATTTTATATTTTTTTAAATTTTAATTGTAGTTTTTGATTTTAAAATGTTCTGAAATTTTAAAGTTTTAAAATTTTTTCTTATATTCTGTTCTTAATGGAGTAATTACTAGGGTTTTAATATGATACATGGCAATCTTAAATTTTTCCAGTTTTGGTTTTTTGGTTTGGTTTCGGTTTTTGGTTATTGGCAGTCCTGGAGCTTCTTTTCTATGATTATTAAGGATAATTAATACATTTGAATTCAGATAGTAGTAGGACTATTAAAGTAAATTTTTAAAATAAATTAATAGTTTAAATAGAATTATGATTATACAAATAATATGCTATTAAAGTAATACTGTAGGGAATTCGGTTTGACCTTCTGCAGGTTATTTAAATTGGGAATTCCTCGATGGCTTTGGACCGCCTGTGCCTGTTCCGAAAATTCATGTGAATGAATATTTCTTGAGAGTTTCCGCCACTCTGTTTGCTCGTGGGGTTTTTAATTGTTTTTGGATTTTGAATGTTTGGTGTTGTGCTTCGTTGTTTGTATGTCTCTTCCTTATTTTTAGTTCGTTAATTAACCTCCAATTATTTTTAGATAATTAGCTTCTTTTTCTCTCTTCTTTTCCTTTTGTGGTCTTGAGGGGGTCGACCCTTTCATAATCATATGGTCATGGGACTAGGAGGATTGGGTCTTCCCTATTATGACTATTTTGCCCTGCCCCATTTTTTGCCCTGAAATTCCCACCATCATTTTTACTTAAAAAAACGAATTGAGAAACTGCGCTAACCACCATTGATTGAGTTCGATTACTCTTCCAACCGGAGCTCTTCGAACAACTTGAATTCGTGCTACTTCACCTCCAGTAAATCTACACATACGCTCAAAACCGTCTATACGGTTTTTTCGCTCGGTTTCATTTTTGATCCGCAAATTGGGCACTTATACGATATTGCTATCAAACTTTTCTCCATACACCACTCAATAACGCTCTTTTTATCTCTTCACTCCAACTGATAAAAAAAATCCAGATCCAGATACTCATCCATTCTTGCAGTAAGCACCGAGTTTGACACACTCATCAATAATCAAAACATTCTTTAAGCAAAAGAATTCTTTTCTGTATTTTCAGAAGTTACGGTTATAATTTTTAATTCATGCATTCAATATTTTCAATCGTTTGCTAATGATCGTTTCAATCGTTTGGTATCTTAATAATATATTTGTGAGAGATAATTCGTTGCGTTAAATGCTAACACTACCACACAACACACAAAAGTAGATTAATAATAAAACAAATCTCGCGCAGAACATTATAAACCTACCATTTCAACTAAGTTAAAATATAATTTAAGTTTTCTTTAAATACGAAGCTTTGGCATAGCGCACCACATTCGCTTTGCCCATGTGCACATCGATCTATTTTCACTTAAAAAATACCAGAATTGCACAAACTCGGAATCGCCCACAACCTCGGCATTGCGCACCACATTGGCTTCGCCCATGTGCACATTGATCTATTTTCACTTAAAACACATCCCATAATTGCACAAACCCGGCATCGCGCACAACCTCGGCATTGCGGACCACATTGGCTTTGCCCATGTGCACATTGATCTATTTTCACTTAAAAAAACTTCCCCGAATTGCACAAACTCGGCATTGCGCACCACACTGTGCCCATATGGACATCGATCTATTTTTCACTTAAAGAACATCCCCGAATTGCACAAACTCGGCATCGCGCACAACCTCGGCATTGCGCACCACATTGGCTTTGCCCATGTGCACATCGATCTATTTTCACTTAAAAAACATTCCCGAATTGCACAAACACGGCATCGCACAAAAACCTCGCCATTGCACACCACATCGGCTTTGCCCATGTGCACATTGATCTATTTTCACTTAAAAAAACTTCCCCGAATTGCACAAACTCGGCATTGCGCACCACACTGTGCCCATATGGACATCGATCTATTTTTCACTTAAAGAACATCCCCGAATTGCACAAACTCGGCATCGCGCACAACCTCGGCATTGCGCACAACATTGGCTTTGCCCATGTGCACATCGATCTATTTTCACTTAAAAAACATCCCCGAATTGCACAAACACGGCATCGCACACAACCTCGTCATTGCGCACCACATTGCCTTTGCCCATGTGCTCATCGATCTATGTTCACTTAAAAGACATCCCCGAATTGCACAAACTCGGCATCGCGCACAACTTCGGCATTGCGCACCACATTGGCTTTGCACATGTGCACATCGATCTATTTTATCTTAAAAACATCCCCGAATTGCACAAACACGGCATCGCACACAACCTGGTCATTGCGCACCACATTGGCTTTGCCCATTTTCACATCGATCTATTTTCTCTTAAAAAACATCCCCGAATTGCACAAACACGGCATCGCACACAACCTCGTCATTGCGCACCACATTGGCTTTGCCCATGGGCACATCGATCTATTTTCACTTAAAAAAACTTCCCCGAATTGCACAAACTCGGCATTGCGCACTACATTGGCTTTGCTCATGTGCACATCGATCTATTTTCACTTAAAAAACATCCCCGAATAGCACAAACTCGGCAACGCGCACAACCTCGGCATTGCGCACCACATTGGCTTTGCCCATGTGCACATCGATCTATTTTCACTTAAAAACATCCCCGAATTGCACAAACACGGCATTGCGCACCACATTGGCTTTGCCCATGTGCACATCGATCTATTTTCACTTAAAAACATGCCCAATTTTCACAAACTCGGCATCGCGCACAACCTCGGCATTGCGCACCACATTTGCTTTGCCCATGTGCACATCGATCTATTTTCACTTAAAAAACATCCCCGAATAGCACAAACTCGGCATCGCGCGCAACCTCGACATTACGCACCACATTGGCTTTGCCCATGTGCACATCGATCTATTTTTACTGAAAAAAATCAGACTTTGAATAAATTCTCCATTACACATATACTCAGAAATCTGCTTTCACTTAAAAAAAATCAGAGAATTGCAGAAACTTGCGCGTAACCAACTCCATTGATTTGAGTTGTCGAATTTACTCTTCGCAAACCAGGAGTTCTTTCGAACAGACCTTGAAATTCGATGCCTACATTCGCCTCCAGTAACTCTACACATCCGCTCAAAACCGTCTATACGGTTTTTCGCTCAGTTTCATATTTGTTCCGCAAATTGGGCACTTATACGATATTGCTATCAAACCTTTCTCCATACACCACTCATTAACGCTCTTTTTACCTCTTCACTCCAACTGATAAAAAAAATCCAGATTCAGATACTCATCCATTCTGCAGTAAGCACCGAGTTTGACACACTCATCAATAATCAAAACATTCTTTAAGCAAAAGAATTCTTTTCTGTATTTTCAGAAGTTACGGTTATAATTTTTAATTCACGCATTCAATATTTTCAGTCGTTTGCTAATGATCGTTTCAATCGTTTAGTATCTTAATAATATATTTGTGAGAGATAATTCGTTGCGTGAAATGCTAACACTTCCACAGAACACACAAAAGTAGATTTATAATTAAAAAAATCTCGCGTAGAACATTATAAACCTACCATTTCAACTCAGTTAAAATATAATTTAAGTTTTCTTTACGAAGCTATAGCATACTTATAACTTGTTTTTAAGAAGAGGCGTAACCAATATTACGTCATAAAAAGGCGTGTCCAAGCATAAGAGAAGTAAACACAGCATCGACTGATGATGCAGTCTATTCTGCGATTTAATATTATACTCACCGATTATTTTCT